TCTGTGGATATACATTTTGTATCCATGCAGGGCTCTACCGGTGAAGGGGGTGGGTCTCAGAGCCCAAGGCCAAAGGTCTATGCTGCTATTTTTAGCCCCATTGCACGAGCTCCATGAGCCCAAGATTGTTGATCCAGGGTCTGAGAATCACTGCTGCGAGTCGTTTTTTTGCAGGGTAGACACACCCTCTGTGGGACTTCTAGAATATTAATCATTAGAAGATCTAAGGGTTTCAAACTGTGTTGTAGCCTTGCTTGACCTTTCACTTGCTAGGTACCTTCCAGTTTCCAGCCTCTCTTTCCTCAGCAAGGTACTGGACAAAATAGTCTTTTCTTATGTCTATGACCCAATTTTTCCAGCTCATCTCCCTAAAATGTGAGCATAGCCAATAGAAAGGAGCATAAACTACAGCAGTCAATATGTAATAAGGGAATTAGCAGGGCTGCGATGGAATTTGAAGGGGATTAAACCAAGTAACAATAAATACTTGAAGTATATCAGACACAGGAAGCTGGCAAGAGAGTCTACAAGAGGAGTCTACAAGGCTTCAGAGAAGGTATTTTCCCTTTCTTATAATGAAAGTATAAGGGATCATTGAAACTGAAAGGCAGCAAATTTATAAATGGAAAAAGAAAGTTTTTCATACAATGCACAATTAGCCTGTGGAGCTCATTGCCACAAGATATCATAAAGGCCAAGAGCTTAGCAAGATTTTTTAAAAAGATAGGACATTTTTATGACTAATTAGAACACGCAGAATTGCACATTAGTGAGGATTTGAGAGAAACCCCAAAAGTCTGGAAGTGATATTAAATCGTCATGCTTCAGGGCATAAGCCAAACGCTAACTAATGAGTGTTAAGAAGAAACTTTCCTTAGGGGCAGATTATTTCATAACAGCCTATTGCAGCGTTTCCCACACGTGTGTCTGACGCATCTGGTGCTGGCCACTGTCAGAGAAAGGATATGTGACTGGATGGAGCAGTGGTGTAAACTGGTATGGTAGTTCTGATGTTTCCAGAGCACTTTGCTCACTGTTTCTTTGCATAGAATTGTTCAGCTATCTGGAGCTGCATATTGCAAAATAATAAACTCAGAGAAAAGTGTATCAGTGCAGTGTATATCAGTTAATAAAGCCTGCCTCTGGGATGAACAATGATACACAGAAAGTCTCTTGAATTGATATTGTTATTTAAATACAAGTGCTGTGGAGTATTTATTTAGCCCTGAAATCTCTGTTGAAATTACTGTTGCTTGCAATTATATTTGTGATTCTCAAACTTTAGGTTAAATACATTGATGGTAATAATACTGGAAAATGTGCATAGATGATTAAAGTAAATAACCTGTCTGTTGGTTCTTTCCATTCCCTCACTGTTTTCCTGTATTACTCTTCCACCGACACTTCCTAATTTATGTCTGGTCATCTATTTATGGACATAAATGTTCCTGGCAGCCACTGTAGCTCTGAGCAGTAATGCAGTGAGCCTTATGGATCAGTGAGCTATTGAAATAGTATGATCAGCAACTTTCTTTGAGATTTAGCAAATTACCTTCACAGTGCATCAAATCTTTAAGTAGGAAAGCAAGTGCCATTCTGCATTCTGCTTTGGATTTTGTGCATTTAAAGGCAAGATTATTGGAGGGCTGCCCTAATTGGGCAGCAGCATTTTGAGCTTTTCACATTGATTATTTTTAGGGAACCTTATCTGTTATAACTGGAAAGCAGAAATTCATTCTTTAGGCTCCTTAACCAAATTGCACAAAATCTATGGCTGTTTTGTTATATTTTCCCTTATTTGTATTGTATTTTAATTAATTATCTGGATTTAAATACAACAATATAAAAGAATGCTCACCGGGGGATTCATGTGTCTTTGCCATTAACTAAAAATACAATTCAAAAATCATTATGAAACCCAACTCAGCAGCACTTGTCCTTTCCCTATTCCTTCCAGCAGTCAGTACACACATCAGAATCTCCTGCACCGTGTGCTCTTTCCCATACATAAATCCCACTTGCTGTAGCTCTATAATGTCAGCTCAAACAGATGTCTGGAAGGCCAATCAGCTTGGGCTGTTTTGAACTGGGGAGTGGAAGGGGAGTGAATTTCAAAGTGAGAGTTCTTCCCACAGAATGTGCTGCCATTAGCCCCTTTTCTTTGATACAAGAGGGACTCCAGCACAGGTACCTCTGTTGATCTCACCTGCAGCAGTATGTCTCAGGGAGGAAAGTCCCAGGGCCAAAAAAACACCTCTACTCCTGCAGCCAGTTCAGATACTGGAGAACTAATGCCATGTGATCACAATGAGATATTCTATTTAACAAGCTAGCTACCTCACGCTGCTTTGAATGCATGTCGGGAGCACAGTTACCAACTTTCATGCGGTAAATAAGCACCCTGACTTTCACAATGAGCCAAATATCAAGCTAATCCCATTTCAAAACAAGGCCGAAACAAGCCAATCCCTAAGAACCCCAACACTCTATGTGACTAGATCCCCCCATGTGTGCAGTCTGGGAATGTGGTTGGCCTGCTGTGCACCCCTGACTCTCTCCCCCCCCTTACTCCTGCTTGCCGGGAGCTGATTTAAAAAAAAAAAAAAAAAAAGCTACAAGCCAAACAAGCACAAGCTACAAGCCAAACAAATTACAAGCCAAAAACTAGCCAACAAGCAACTCACAATCCAATTAAGCCACAAACAAGCCCAATTTCTGCGTTTTTTTTTCTGCGGGTTTGGCATGTCTGGTCAGGAGTAGCCCCACATAGAACACATTATTATATTCCAGTCTAGAGGTGGCAAAGCACAAACCATGGGGGCAAACTGCACGTCCAAGGGGAAATGTCGCACCCTCCTGGACAGAGCTGAGACTTTAATCAGATCTCTGTGCTGATAACTTTGGTTACAAACCAGGTTCAAACACTCTCAACTGAGGGGTGTGACTTAGCCTCTGTGAAGTCCTCCAGATAATTACCCCAGTACACCATAATGACCTCAGTCTTCTCCAGATTGTGTCTCTGCAATCTTGCTCCCATCCATACCCCGGTCTTGCTCAGATGCTGGGAAAGACGCTTTGCTGCACTCTTTGGGCTGGGTGAGAAAGAGCCATGAATCTGGTTGCCATCTGTGAATGTCACATTGAAAACTCTTTGGCCTGTATCTCCTCATTGACTCTCCTAATGGCTTTGCATAGCATACACATAGAATGAGAGGGGTGGCGGAGGAGAACCTTATGTGATCACATGTGAGAGTTCTCTCAGGAGAAGAGCTATTGTGTGTGGCCTCCAGGGACCATAGGTGTGCCAACAACACCTTCATGATCCATTGTGCTGAAGGAAGCTCAGAAAGCTAACCAGCTCATCACTCTCTTAATATGGTATAACCTCTCATAGCCCAAGAGACCCACACCTATTATCCCCATAGTAACCCTTGCCTCCAGTTTCTCCCCAGTAACATCAGTGAGTAGAAAAAAAAACACTGCTGAGCCAAAGAGAGATTATAGTCGTCCTCAAAGGGTCTGGACCCCATTGTGGTGCAATTCGAGAGGGGGAGAGTAGATCTGTGATCTCCTGGTGGCTGTCAGCCAAAGATTTTCATGATGCTTCACTAGAATGTACATAACAAAAAATCTCTGCTCTTGAGGAGCTTGTATAAAACACATACAGGTGCTGCAGTAATTCAGAGAGCAATGTTGCATGTTGTTGTTAGCATATATAGTTCCTGTGGAGCAGTTGGGGTTTTAGAAAATATCTGAGTGGAGAGAGGAAGAACATTTGGAGAGTAAGAAATCTGACCCAGGTTTATGGGGTGGTGTAGAAGAAGGCATGGAGGTGGGATTGAGTGAGACAAACAAAGAGGGCAGGAGGGGATGGGATAAATAATAACCTGACGAGTGTTTTTAATTAAGTATATTCAGCAAAGTAACTCGATAGGTTTAAAGGCAGCATGTGTTTGTTGTAGAGCAACCCTGGTTTTTAAACGGAGCTGAGGATTTTTTGTGTGTGTTTGTGGAGGAAATAATAGAAAAAGCCAGAAGGTGGTAGTAAGCACTGTGGATTTTCCCATGATACATGCCACAGACAGGGATCTCTAGATTACAATACTTGGAGTAGTATAAAACATAAAATAAGTAGCACTAAGGGGCCTTATCAGTTGTCTTTTAAAAGGTACAGAAATGTTTGTTTACTTGACACACTAGGCTCCCGTAGCTGGTACAACCATTCTTGTTTTTGAACTCGTGGTTTCAACCTTAGCTTGATTTGGACTTTGCCTTTTGATCCAGACCCAGAAATCTGACTTGGACTCTGACCCCTTGGTATCGACTCTGTCCTGGAACCTGACCACAAACTCCTCCTCTACTCACAGCCTCATGTTTGACCCTGCTCTGATCCTTGGTCCCAACTGCCCTTGTTAGGATCCTGTCAAGATGTACCCTAAGGTACAATCCGGACTGTTGAACAGTTGGGTCCCTTCAATTCTCCAATCTGGAGTGCCTTTTATACTGCTTTGCTGTGAAAACAACCACTCCAGTCCAATTCACACACAGCCTGTAGCGTGCAAAATCACTCCCAGCTGAATGACATGAATGCTATGGCCAGCCACTCATGAGTTGCATACAGGGCAACACCAGTAAACTCCCAGTCCCAGACCTTCCCCCAGAAATGTGCGTCTTGTACTGCCCAGCTCTCCACTTGACAATGCAAGCTCATATAAGGTCCATCATTTCATCAGTGCAAAATGATATGCACAAACCTTGTTATCTCAAGTGGAGGTTCCCAACATTTCAATCCAAACACACACTGGTTTAGATAAAACAATAAAACAAGTTTATTAACTACAGAAAGATAGATTTAAAGTGATTACAAGTAATGAGGCAGAAAAGTTAGAATTGGTTACAAAGAAAATAAAAGATAAAATGCAGATTCATATCTAACTTAAAGCTAAATGGATTCAAAGCAAACATTTTTCTCACCATATGCTCGTTACAATCTTTACTAGCTGGAACCCTCCAGGCCAGGATGTCTCCCCCAGTTCAGTGTTTCTTCAGGTGTTGCTGTTGTCAGCATAAAGGTAAGAGTAGAGACGTAATTTGTGTTGTATGTGGTCTCTATTCTTATACCATTCTCCAGTTGGGGTATAGTGCTGTAGCTATGCTGCTATAGTCCCTGTCTAGGTAGGAGAAACTAATATTGGCTTCTGCTGTTCTGATGAAATGGGCATGACTGCTGCTCTTCACTAGTACATTCATGTGTGTTTTACTTATCTAATTCTAAAACCTCAGGGTTATAAAGTGTCGATTTCTGTATACTTGCACTACTCCACCTTTAGCCTTATAGATTTTTATATTTAAAAGGATAGGTACATACAATGGTGACTCAATACTTCTCCCTTTCCAGCTCATCTGATAAAAGCTTGACATCAGTCTCACAAACTACAGGAGGTAGCAATAGCCAAAATTCAACTGAAAAATGGCAGGGAGGGGATACAGATTCTGGAAAGAGCCATGATATAATTTTTAAACAGTTCTATTTCAGCTAACTTGATTACGTTTGTGTGTATGTGTATATTCAATGTACGTATGCATCACCCACTGATGAGTATGTGCTCCAGGTTCTCCCTCTGTTCCTGATCCACAGAGGAAATGAGTTGTTACAGTTCTGAGCTATGGAGACATGGCTCTTTAACTCAAGTTGTAACAACTCAGACTTTTGACCCTGCAGGTCCCTGGTTCAATCCCTTGTGCATCTACAGAAATGGTTGCCATTATATACATGTGTGCGTGCATACACAATAGATACATACAATTTGAAAACATTTTTTGCATTTTATGGGCCACTTTACATCAGCTGTGGGTGTAACCCACTAGTCTTTACTCAGTACCATCTTTTCTAGTGAAGACTGTACAGTTGACAGTTTTAATTTATTGTCATTGCTATACTTATTAAATAGGCTTCCTGACTAGATTTTCCCTTGTACATAACAAGTGTGAGTTCTTTATATAAAAATAATGTAGAATGACATCAATACAAGAGGTTAATGATGACATTTTATCTGAAAGTTGGCTTATTACAAATAGGATTTTTTGGATGCCTTAAAGAGTGAAACCTCACATACGTACATAATAAAAAAAGTGAAGTCTACATAATGCTCTGTGTAAACCAGATGGTAGAGTATTGTGTCTGGTGTCTTATGATTCTCTTTCTAATAACCTCATGAACAGGAAAGGAATTTCTGAGTGCATTCTTAAGAAGCACACAGTGTTTTGCTATTGAAATGGTGGTGTCTGTGCATCCATCTAAATGGTAATGAAATGCTAACAAAGTAATCTGTTTGCTTGGTTTTTTTTTTTTCATCCTGCAAGATGATGAGGAGAATGTGATAAAATATTTGGCATCTGATGTCTGTTTTGAAAACTGGAAATACAAACATAAACCAGGAAGCTTAATGAGATTTTCTTCTCTAAAACATTGAGCAGTTCACTGCTTTATAAAAAGAAACAAGAAAAAGCTGAATTCTTATAAGGCCTCTTGCAGGATCTTGCAGATATTGGTAGTTAACCCAGTTTTATTACAAAGCACAAATACCCTGTATTTATTTTTTTTTACTCACATGTTAACTGTTGGTTATTTAGGGCTCAATCCTGCAAATATTTACAGAATGTTTTTACCATCCAAATGTAATGGGATGACTCAGGGCAGGTAGGTTTAGGGCATGTTTATACTTGAAAGGAGTTTCAGGTTTTGTTTATTTTTGTTTTGTGATCTGCAACAACTGTGGTGTGAACCTCCACCCCACCTTCCTATCCAGAGTTAAGCCACTTCTCTTTGGGATCATTGTGTCCACATGGTGCTGCTTTGTTTCAAAACAAGTGCTCAGCATTCTGGGAAGACATCTTATGGTGCAATGAACCTCTGCTAGGCTCTACCCTTTTTGAGATTTTTCTCTGTGGGGAAACTTGTCAGAAATTCTGGGACTTAGGGTCAAACTAAATAAATCCCATGATCACTTTCCTTTCACCCCACCAATAAACTTGTTTTCATGAGCCAGTGCCATTTTCAAAGAGCAGTCAAGCAGCATGGAGGAAACACAGAGTGCTGCGGTCTTCCTGGTGTTTATTATGAACAGGCTCGTACCCCATGCAGGCCCTGAAGGGGGTTAATGTGCCTGAGAGGCCAATTATGTTATCTGGCTGCACCTGGCGGGAGAGCCAAGCTTAACTGAGTATGAAACCCAGCTGGGCAGGAGCAGGCCGGTGAGTATAAAGCCAGGAGAGCAGGAAGTTGCAAGGAGAATGTCTGCAATCATTCTTTAGAAGCATAAAACCCAAAAGGAGAATAAGTCATGGAAGAACGGTTAACCCCAGAGGAGTTGTGGGGAAAGAAAGCCTGAGAAGACAGAGTAGGAAGAAGCCCAGGGAAACTGCAGTAAGAAAGGGGACTGTGTAGACCTTGGCTGCTCATTATTAGGTCCCCGGGCTGGAACCCATTGTAGAGGGCAGGTCTGAGTTTCCCTAGTAGTCACTGAGAAATGGCACAGGATTGTTGGAGCTGCCAGCTGTCTGGAAGAACCAGAGTCGAGAGTGAGAGAGAAAGGTGAGAACTGAAGGGGCGGTGGGGTGCCAGATAGGAGAGAACTAATCCGCAGGCAAAGTTGCAGGGATGTGCCCCAGCAGGGCGTGAATCCCTTCACTGGCCTGTGTCTTGGTGTTGTGGGAGTCAAGGATGTATTCTGATAGGCCAGGCTCTCAGAGGGAAAGGACTGCAAGACACGATAGGGTTGCCAAATCTCCAGGATTGCCCTGCAGTCTCCAGGAATTAAAGATTAATCTTTAAATATTATGTCATGTGATGAAACCTCTAGGAATATGTCCAACCAAAATTGGCAACCCTAGGACATGGGTAGGTTAGGATGGTGAACATAGTCCCGCTATGTTCTGAAGCAGGACTGTTTGTCTCTCCATCACCCCCAGTAGCTGCAGGCCCTTAGCCAGTTCCTTGTCATCATCCCCCTCTCTTTGTTTGTCTCTCCATCACCCCCAGTAGCTGCAGGCCCTTAGCCAGTTCCTTGTCGTCATCCCCCTCTCTTTGTATCTTGTTTAAGGAAACCTGCCCTCCACTCCTTCATCTTGCTCCCTCTGCTGGCATGCAGATGCAAGGTGGTAAACGTTTTCTCACCCTTTGTCCTCTTTCCGTTCCCCCAGAGATAACACCCCTGTCTGTGGTCATTACAACATGTCAGGTGCTGGGGAGGGAAAGAAAAAGCTAACCCCGTTGTTCAAATTCTAGTCTCCATGACAGTAATGGTCCAGTGTTTTTTTTTCTCCGTTTCAGAATTCCATTCCCATATGCTTTTTCCCAAGCTGGGGTGAGCTTGGAGATCAGATGTTTTCAGACATTCTTCCCTGTTTGTGCAAGATCCCTGAATTCATTGTGGGAAGGGGCATGTGGTTCTTGGGTCACCAGGTGTGGCGGTTAATAATTGTATGTGCACCTATGCAGACTGCTGGTGGGCAGAGAGTGCTAAGGAGCACCAGAAGGTCCAGGCCTGTGGTTGCATGTGTGTCTTTGTGTGTCACCAGTGGGTTGTGGCAGGGGGCAGCACGGGAAGGCTAGTAATTGCATGTGCACCAATTCTGTTCAAGGATGTTACCCTGAGGCGTGTCCCAAAAAGGCAGAGAAGGATTTTGATCAAAAAGGCAATAGGCAAACCAAGAAGATACGCCTTGCTGCTTTTTGCCAGGAAGGTGCCCCTATAGCTGGTGCAGCAGTGGAAGGGAAGCACAAGCTATATGGGCAGTGGTGAGGGAGCTGCGTTGCTGTGCAATCTGTGTGTCCAAAACAGAGCATTGTCTTTGCCTTAACTTCTTCTTCTTTTTTTTAATATCTGTGGATCAGCATAAAGTGAAAAATAAATAGAATTCCGCAGTAACCCAAAAGGAGGAGGGGAGAGGGGCTGAATGAATGCCTTGAAACCCTTTTTGAAATGTCTCTCAAGCCTGATTTGGGTGACTTATGTCCTAACAACTCAAGTTTTCTTAAAACTGAGAAACTATGAGCCAGAAAAAAAAAATTCTGGGGCTTTTTCTTTCTTGTATCTGCTGCTACTATAAATGTGTGACTGTTCAATGCATCTCATTTGTAACCCACAGAGTGTGGCCATTTCGAATAGAACTGGGAGGGAGCAGAAGCAATAAGCAGCATGGTGGGGCATGGGGAGGACCTGGGACACTTGAGCAGGGGTTGTGTGTTATTTCTGAGAAATAAATGGTACTGTTTTAATTCTCCAGCACAGCTGCCATTCGGAGCTCTAGGTGGGGGGAGTGTTAAAAGCCAAGGAGGCAGAGAGAGAGAGAGGCTAGTCCATCATGGTGGTGCCTTGGCAGTACCCAGAAGTAAGTAGTTTAAATCCTCCTGTACAGTTGTACTGTAATGTATCACATAATACTTACTGGAAGAAGTCTTCATCCCAGGTTAGGTCTCTGTTGTGATTCAGTTGGCCCTCTGACTGTGATTTGGGGGTCTCCAGCATTGTATGAGCCTTGGGGTTCATTGGCTTGAGCTGGCCGACAAGATCCTGTGTTGCAAGGTTAATCACCTCTGGCTTTTGTATCCTGGCTGGCATCCAAGTGGGAGTCCTAGGTGGAACTCACAAGAAGCTGTGGTTGGCTGGTGGAACCTCTACCAAAAAATGGGGCCCAGCTCCTGTAGTAGGCACACTGTGAAGTTCTCACCCAGGTGGCGTTGTCCCTAACATTCTTATAACTCAGCTGAAACTTCTTTCCATTCTTGTGGCACTGGCTCATGCCCCAGGAATACCACCTCTCCTTCATTTGATAGCTGCTCGTAGACCTCTGTATTCCAGTCGGTGATTGCTGTTTGTGTGGGTCTGGATGCACTTCTCTCCACGGGGAGGGAGGGCAAGGAAGTCCTATGCACAGTGCCATGTGAAAACATAGGGCACGGCTGCTGTCCAATCGGCATGCAGCTCTGGAGGTGTGAACTCACTATGAGCTGGAATTGCAAAGGGGTGGGGAAAACCTGACTGCTCGGCTGCACTGAAATGGCGGAAGTAACATCTGGTCAAGATGACCCCGGAGCAGTAGACGGCACACCAGTAAACAGGCTGACCCAGGTGGCTGACAAAGCAGTGTACAATAGCAGTGGGAGGACTGCCAGATGTGAAACAGTTGCTTCAGAATGGGAATGTGTCTACACCTACCTTGTTGTGGAAAAAAATCATCCTGATTCTCAGTAAACCTGCTTCCAAAGTGGGTTGGTTGATGTGGGTTAGAAAGCCAGAGGATTTGAAAGAAATACTTGTGTGTGCATGTAAGGCAGTCTGTTCTGAAACAGTTTTCAAGTGTAGACAGGCCCTTATGTTTGTAACGTTTCAGGCACTGGGGACTTAGGTCCTAACATTTTTTGTACTGTCATTATAAATTCAATGTGAACAGAAGGTAAATGTCTGCTTACTGTATTCATTCGGAGCTTGGTAAATTACATATTTTGATTTAATAATTAACAATTTGAAGAAGATGGGCCTCTTTCAGGTCTCAGGGAAAATCGGGGTAACTGACATCATTAGAGTTGCATTGTGTAAATCTGGTATAACGGAGAGAAGAATCAGTCCTGCTTTCTTCTAAGTAAGCCCTATATTGATTAATGAAAAATATAATTTTATTTTACATAGTTTAATTGAAGCAGTTTCAAAACTGTATTAAGTCAGTGTTCGCTTGTAGACTTTAGAAAGAACAACCATAATGTTCAGAGTTACGAACATTTCAGAGTTATGAACAACCTCCAGTCCCAAGGTGTTCATAACTTTGAGGTTCTACTGTATGCCCACTCAGGACAACCAAACTGCTGATTCCTGTTAAACAGGACTCAGGGTTAAGAAAGACAAGGCATGAGCTGTGAGGGAGCAAGTGAGGAAATCCCTTGGAAGAAGCTATTAGTTTTCTGTTAAGGTCCCAGGGCTTGATTCTCCATTGGGTTACTACAATGTTATGTCAGCTTAACTTCATTGATCTCCTAAAACTGTGTAAGAGAGTAGAGAATCAGGCCCACAGTAGTTATTAACTTCTGTCAGAAGGTTAATATTGGAAAGCCTTATGGTTAAAGGACAAATTTACATGTTTTCAGTGTTCTGAGTATATAAATTAAATAACCATGTTTTCTTTTTACCCAGAGTAATTGACATGCACCTAGATCAGTGAAACATATCAGGGGAGTGGCTGTTCACTGTGGTATACTTATTGGGGGCCTGGTGAATTTGTAGGTGAAAATCCAAGAGGCAGTTAATGATGCTAAGAGTTATGTTGAACTCCTCTCCATGACTTCTGTGCTCCTCAGAGATGGGGGCTAGTGCATTGTCATGGGAGGCAGAGAGAGGGAGGGAGTTTTGATGCCAAAGGGGATATGCATGGAAGGGTGAGCTAATTATCTGTGAGGGTTTTCATTTTTAACTTTTACAGGCTGCAGTCCCACCACACACACCTCACTGTGTTAGGCCATAAACCTTTGCAGGAGAGAATGTGGCTCCAGCTCCATGAGGTGACCCTCACAGAGTTTTTTGAAGTATTTTCCCCCTCCTTTGGGCTTTTCTAGGAGAGAGGAGCAGTGTATAGAATGTGGGGAAGATCCAGAGGAACCCCAACAACCTTATATTTAGAATCTGGGAGACTTTAGCCACCAGATGAAAGCTGTTCGAAAATCTGTTTGTTGTTTGACTTACACTTCATGTCAGTATTCCTTTAAAATGTGGTGGTGTTCTGGAAAGTCAGTTTGTTTAAAAAAAACCAGCCCATACTAAATACCCTACCTCAAACCACACTGCAGTTCTATGTATCTGCACTATATGTATCTTCCTAGTCATATCTGTCCTATTTACTGACAGAAACAACTGCTTTAAACTGGTGACAATGCAAGGGTCAATGTAGCTGTTCAAAAGGGAAGTCTGTTCTTCTCATGAATCACCAATGAAAATTGCCAGTTACTCCTGAACTTACATTGTTGAAGATGATTTATGAAGCAGAAAAAAGGGCTATGTGCTTTGAAAACCACCTTGATTTTTTTAGTCCTGGCACTCAGAAAACATTCTCTTATTTACTCTCAAGAAATCCAAAGGTAAATGATACTGCTAATGAGTGGAAGGTATTTAATATTAACCTTGAATCACTTTTTAATTTTAACTTTTAAGGTTAGATTCACTGGTAATACACTTCGGCCTGCTTTATGTTACTTAGGAGCACTAATTTCGATTTTTGACAGAAATTTGAATACTGAAATATTTTGGCTGGAAATCAAAATATTTCATCTGTAAATCAAAATATATTGATATGGAAATGCTGCCACAGTGCCTCATGGGAAATGTAGTTTGGGTGTCTCAAGCTCCCAGTCTGATTTAGTTTAATCTTACTTCGTCTGGAGTCAGACAGCGTTGTTCTGAAAACGATGCTAATAGAGCTGCTCATGAAGAGGTTGTGATGTATCCTTTGATGCAGACATTAGGATATTGTAGGATGCATCGTTATCCATTATTTACATTCGTAATATATACATTATGAATGCAGCACATATTGTTGAAGATACATTGCATAATTTGCTGAAGCTTTTGCAAGCAGTTTGTGCAGGTGACAATCATAACTTAGGTCTTAAAATAAAAACTGTTAGAACAGAAATGAGAAATTGAATCAGACAGGAATCAAACCAGACAGGTAGCATTGTAGATCACTTTAATAGTAATCTAATTTGTTGCTAGTTGGCTGGTAGCCAAGCTGTAATTTGGTTCTTTATTTTACTCTGGGCTGAAAATGTGGTTGACTACTAGGCTACTATGTTCCATGAGGAAAATACTGTAGACTTCATTTTATTTATAGAAATCTAGAATCCTGGGTTGATATCTAGCTTTAACATCACTTTTTGTCTCAGGGTTACCAGTACTTTTAAGAAGGAGCAGGGTCCAATGAACCAGTGACTTGTTAGATGCCTCCCAGTTGGGGGTATCTAACAGAAGGCACCTAAAGGGAGTCAGGAAAGGCGCAGGTAAAAGCTGCCCCAGGGGGAAACAGGAGATGCAGAGGAGAGCTGATACAGAGAACCACTGGGAAGAACAAAAGGTGGAGAAATTTACTGGTGAGGACTAGCTAGTGCTGGTGAACTGCTGCTGAGTTATAGGAGAGCTTATGTCATAGAATCGTAGAATATCAGGGTTGAAAGGGACCTGAGGAGGTCATTTGGTCCAACCCCCTGCTCAAAGCAGGACCAATGCAATGGCCCTAGGAACCCAAAGAGGAACCAGCCTGGTTAGGGGAAACTGAGCCAAGAGGGTTGATGCTGGAAGGTGGATTCCAGGAGCAGGAGGTAGGACTCACACGCAGGGAGGCCTGGGTAAGTGGAACTTTACAGGAGGATCCCCTGGCAGAAGGCCTGAGTGGAGGACTGCATGAATCTGAGCCCAGAACTCTGAAGGGAAGTTCCCTGAGCTGGGGTAGGACTCACGGGCCAGGAACCCTGGGTGAGTGGAACGCTGCTGAGAGCCCTATCCTGCAAGACTGTCTTGGGACTACCAGAGAAGTGTTGTGGGGGAGAATTGAATCTGGAACCTCTCAGGCTGGGGGCCTGGAGAATGGGGCCTTGGGACAAAGACAAAAGAGTATGGGAATGGATTGGAGATGGACTCTTGGGAGGATGAGATAGAAATGCTGTCTCGGGAGGGGGCATGGAGAACTGTTGTGAACATGTTGTTCTTTGGGATTTTGGGAGAATGGTTTTATCATGAGGTTTCTATAGACGGTTGTACATGTACAAGAATAAGTTATGCCTAGAGGTGGGCTTTTGAATTGGACAGACTGTTCCTCTTATGGCCGGACCAGGAGGAAACTGAGGCAGGCACACCTATAACTGTCATGCTGTCTGGCCTGCTGTTGGAAGGCACCCCAGGTGGGCCCTGCCCTATCACACCAATATAGAAAGTTTAGTCTCGTAGTAAAGTCTGGTGCAAAGTTCCAGTAAAATAACTACATTCATAGTAAAATAAATACCAAGATTGTTAATGGCACTGGAAGAAATTAATGCGTCAAAAAGGAAGAAAACTTCTTTGAAATGTTGGGTTTTTCTTTTTGCTCTGCCATATGACAGAAATTTGACGACAATGGGATAGGTTTTACCATGCTCTAAAAGTTGGTAAGCATTTATTCATGCAACTAATCTCATTACATTCAATAAGACTGTATGCAGGAGTAAATACCAACTTGAGTAAAGATCTGTGCCCCTGTGTTTAGTATTACTGACCTTTGTTTCTTCATGAAATTTGGTCAAATAAATTTTATTCAGCAAAACCATCATGAGGAGAATAATGTGCCACCAGTGTAGCCAGTTATGAACATTCAAATCTCACGAATTGTACCCCAAAATCGTGAGATTTGAAGAAAATAATTTGGGGGTTCTTTTTATTTGCCTTCTGGTTTTTGAGTCTTCAGAGAACACTTTTCAGGCTTTACTCCACAGTCATGAAGGCTAGAAACTTTGCTTTTTTTAACTGATGAAAGCTGGGATTCTTACGTAATCACAAGATCCCAGAAGGAAAACACCAAATATCACAAGACTCACAATAAAATTGTGTGAGTTGGCAACTTTTATTATATTTAAATCAGGCTTATCGCCCTATAACCCTCTATCCCCTGTCTTCCCTCCAATACATTTTTTTATGTAAAAATGCAAATGGAAGGAACAGTTCCACAGCCCTTATTGGCATGGTTGACACCCGTGAATTCACTGTCTGAACTCACGCCAGTGTAAATGAGGATTACTCCTTTTTGTGCATATTCTGGCTTTGGGCCATGGGTACGCACATAACCAAAAAAATCCATGTCTGGGATTCTGATGCTGAACTTCTGTGCTCTAGGTCTGGCTCCCTGAAATCACATAGGCCAGGATTCAGCAAGGTACTTAACTATGTACACAACTTTAAGATATGCCCATCGCTAAGCGTGTGAGCAGTTCAATCCTATGTGCTCAAAGTAAGGCATGTGTTTAAATACTGAATGGTGGCGATAGAGATCCAGTACTGCAGTCTGTGTTCATATTGAGCCAGGAAGGAATATTCTGGGAAGATGTTTGGTTGTATAGAGTTTCTCTCTCTGATTTATTAGTGCACACAAGAAGTCTGACATTGTGGGCTCTCTCTGGGCCTGCCAGGATACTACAAAGGTAACAGTATTTGTACCCATTTTGGAGGGACAAGTGAAGAGTGTATGTAATAATACTGTACAGACTGTGTATTGACTTTGTTTTGGCAGACATCAAGATTTATTGTCCCTTGAGGTAAATATTTATATCCTGGGTCAATACATCTTGATTTTTCAGCTTAACACAAGTCAATTATTGCTTATCATACCAATCCAGACCTGAAGTCCAAATGGAGATTTTGAAAGTGGAGCTGCTGATGCTTTGTTACATCTCCGTACTAGAAAGAATACCACTTTATTGTGTGCGCATTTAAGGTCATAGATATTATATTAAGTGTATTATAGCTCTTATATTATAAAATGTATGTATCATAGAGCTTATTAATCAAAAAATGTTTCGTTTTTTTGATAATGGATTGTTTGAATGAGGAAAAAATCAGTAAGATTTTTAAAAATGTTTTAAAAATTTTTCATTATCTTATTGTTTTAAGGCGTTGGCATGTTCTCTTTCAGGTGGCCTGGCATTAGCTCAAGTACTGTTTTTTTATGTGAAATACCTGGTTCTCTTTGGTATTCCTGCTCTTATTATTCGAATGGATGGACTCAAACCCCCAGCTTTACCTTGCTGTGTGAGCACAATGCACAGTTTCACTGGAATGTGGCGGTTAGTAAGCTTAATTTATTATTGATATATGACGGTAATTTTTCAATGTATTGATGGTGTGTGTGTGCTGAACTATTCTTTCACTTTTCATCTTTTACAAGATCTTCAGTTTGATGATTACTTTTTTCATGCCACAGAGATAAAGGGAAGCCGCCTTTCAGGATTTTCATCATCTTAATGATTAGAATTAGATCCAGGCCACTTGACTCCACTAAGCTGACTATTTTTTTCTAGATATTTATGAAATATGATCATTTTTCAATCTTGGTCCAAAAAACACCCTTCACTTGAAAATTCATTCAGAGAAGGATAAGAAACACTTGATTAGTTACCCTGTGAGGAGAGTTGTGGATTATAACACTTGAATAGGAAGAGAACTGTATATATGAAAACTTTCCATAGCATTAGCATGTTAAAAGCAATATTTGTTCATATTTTAGCATGAAATTCTGGTCTCCCCTAGGTCTGAGTAAACATGACGGACAGTCAAAATGAAAACTGTGGTTGTGAAGCTTAGAAATTGCTTTAAATAATTAAGTCCATCAGCTCTTCGGTGCCAGTTCTTGTTTTTTACTGTGTGTTTGTACGGGGCCTAGCATGATGAGTAGGGCCCTACCAGATTCATGGCCATGAAAAACGTGTCCCTGACTGTGAAATCTGGACTCCCACCATGAAATCTGGTATTTTGTATGCTTTTACCCTATGCTATACAGATTTCACAGGGGAGAGCAGCGTTTCTTAAATTAGTGGTCCTGACTCAAAAGGGAGTTGCAGGGGGATCAAAATGTTACTTTAGGGGGGTTGCAGTATTGCCACCCTTATTTCTGTGCTGCCTTCACAGCTGGGCTGCTGCGGCTGCTGGGCGGGCGCCCAGCTCTGAAGGCAGCTGCCCAACAGAAGCAGCGCAGAAGTAAGGATGGCAATACCATACCATGCCACCCTTACTTCTGCACTGCTGCCTTCAGAGCTGGGTGGCCAGAGGGTGGCGGCGGCTGACTGAGGGCCCAGCTCTCTAGGCAACAGCGCAGAAGTAAGGGTGGCAATACCATGCCAGGCCATCCTTACTTCTGTGCTGCTGCTGGCGGCAATTCTGCTTTCAGAGCTGGGCTCCCGGCCAGCAGTCGCTGCTCTCCAGCTGCCCAGATCTGGAGGATCTGCAGCGCAGCGCAGAAGTAAGGGTAGCCGTACCGCACCCCCCCCAATAACCTTGCGACCCCCCCCCAACTCCTTTTTGGGTCCGGACTCCTACAATTACAACAATGAAATTTCAGATTTAAATAGCTGAACTAATGAAATTTACAATTTTAAAAATCCTATGGCTGTGAATTTGGTAGGGCCCTCATGATGAGGCTTGATGTGATTGGGGACTCTACGTACAGTTGTAATATAAATAAAACTTTTTCCTTTTCCTTTCTTTAAATTAGTAGGCCTGCATGCTGCACTACTATCAGGACTGATTTGCATGATTTTTTTTTAATGCCAGAAGCTAACCATAACAAAGAAAACTAATCGTTTACCAGGGTTTTGCTTTGTGGCAGTAGAAAACATTCAAAAAGGGAATAGGTTATGTGGCTGAGGTTGGAGGGAAATAAATAAGACATTTTAAAATAATTAAAAATCCAAGCTACTTAACAAGAGACCCCTTCCGATTAGATTCTCCTTTGAAACTGTGAACTGAACTTTTGACCCTTCAGGTTGAAAAAAAAATCTTTTGTTTTTTGCCAGCCTGTGAGCTGATAGCAATGCCTTTTGGCGTGGCTGGACTTTGAAAGCAGAGTTTGAACCAGTAGCCAGTGTTTTCCTGCTGTGTCAATTATTACTCCGTGGAATCTGAGCATTGCTCCCGAGGTGTAAACTAAATTGAACATCAGCACAAATACAGATGATATTACTGTGTTTGATACAAATAGACCATGGAAGAATTGTTATTGACTGTGAAGTTAGAGTGGGTGCTTTTCTTTAAGCTTTCGGTACACTTCCAAAAATATATATTAAATATTTTAGTTATAAAAATTTCAAATTTTATGAGATCATAGAAACTTTTGTTCCACTAGGCAAACAGATTTAGACTGGTTTGAAATCTTACAGTAGAAGAAAAATGTGCTGTTGTTTTTTGCCAAAATGTCTCATTCACTGATGTGCATAGGGAACAATCATGGTAATAAATAATTAAATATGATATTTCACAGATAGGATTTGTGTATTGAAATCATTTCACGTCCAGCTGATTTGATGTGTTGCTATGAAAGCTATATGAGTGGTAGAATTTCCCATGGCTACTAGTGAATTATGGGTCAATTTCAGTTATCTAAGAAATCTCACATAGCTTGCCCTCTGTATCCCCTGAGTTATGATTCTCTCATACCCTTAAAGTTAAACTCATGAATCACTGCTATCCACAGGGCTGCAATCCTTTTTTGTGTGTTCAGTGCCTTATATAGAAATATCACCATCAGAGGTGGAAGGTAGAATAACAGACTTTGTTTGCAGTCTAGAGGTCTGACTATCTCAGGTGTACCTGGTCATCCCATCAAGAATTTCAGTAATGTATCTTGGCTGCATCCAGGGTATCAAAAGAGTTGGAAAGCAAAATAGTCTGTATTGTGAGGTCTACGGGACAGTGATTGTCTAATTCTGATACAAACTCTGTTTTTAATTAGTGTGTTACCTGGCATCAATGACTACCCTCACCAACTGTGTCTGAATTATAGTATTAATAGGATTGGGCCTGCTCTTAATGGTGTGCAACATGGAGACTTGCACCAGAATCTGGCTTTATGGAACAATAAAAATCAGAGGCTGGTAAAGACTCTCAGGGCTAAGGTGGGGAATAGAATATTAGAAAATACATAAAACAAATACAGAATAGAGTATAGTGGTGACAAGCAGACACTGTCAGTGAAACAGCAGTTTAAAGATGGCATTCAGAGAGTCTAAAAGCATGATGATACGTGCATTGATAGATACATGCAGCCCCTAGGTATAGTAGAGTTTGAGGCTATAGAGATTAGGAAGACAATGCTAATGTCACACGCAAAGCAAGTATATCAACTGAGTAAATATTTCACTAAGTCCTGTTCCAGGTAGGTTGGACAGATTGATTTTGCTCTTACACCAGCATCGCGTGTCCTTAAAGCATAGAACCAGAGGTGCTTGGGTTGCAGAGTCATGCAGGAGTTCCTAGTAATGATTGGTGCTGGCCTGGTTCATGGTGTGATGTAGTATGTAGAACGTCTTGAGACCAGGAAGAAAAATGCCATGGCCTGTTGTTGAAAATATTAGGAGAGATCAAGAAACAAAGAAGACTGCAGAAAAACAATCCATGTGCTCCCCATGTGGCACTAAACAATTATCTAACAGTGTCGATTGCAAAATGCATGCATATGAACCAAGCCAGTAATAAAGAGGCATGTTACCCTGTTTATTGACAGTAGACTGTTGCTGATTTTTATTTTACTACTTCAAAAATGTTTGTCTTCAGAAAAAAATCAGTAGTCTCTCTCCAGCTCTCATCAAGGATACAGTTACTCAGTGTGGCAGTGAGGTTTCATATGACTAGGATGTCATCGGTTTTACTAGCACGTTATGCAGTATTATCATGAATAATGAAACTAACTGCATTTGTGAAAACAGTGTGATATCCAGTTCTGGATTTATTCAAGACGGGACAACAGCTCAGTAACAGACCAGGCTAGAGTGTCTAACTGGCTCTTAATGACTGCATTTCCAAATTTCAGCCACAGGGAATCAAACTGCCTTTTATTTAGAGAATTAGCAAGAATATTGTAACATCAAGGTAGCTAAGCACATGTGATAAGAACCAGTATTGTTGGAGGCTTAAAAATGCTTAGAGAAATCCTTCTAGGCTAATGCTTGCTATACAGATTCTTAAGCTAGAAGCAAATAGTTCAGCAAAACTAGAAGAGATTGAATTCCATCTTGGCTCTAACAGCTTTACACTGATGCTCAGGAAATTAGTTCTGGTTGGAAAAGTGCCCTCCTAGTGGGATACTGATGATTAAGGGTCTGGAAACTAGGGATTTAATAGATAATATACATTACAACACCTGCTAATTTCAATGTGTCAATGCAGAGGATGATTCCTGCAGGGGAATTCAGTGGCGCAGCCTATTAAACATTTTCCAGAAATGTTGATTAACCCATATGCTGTTTATGAAGAAAAGTGTGTTTCTCTTTCATATGCCCATCCTACTTGTTCAGTGAGTATGGAGCACATGCATATGCAAAAGTAGATGATCAATGTATCTTGAAATCCTATGGAAACACCATGAACTCCCTCTTACAGGAAGACCTTTATTGTTAGGGACTACAGTGTGGAGACAGGGAAACACAGCTCCTCTTCTTCCTCCTCCTCTCCCTTTCTTGGGTAAGTGGTGCTCCCCATCCTCCTTAGATAGTGCAGCCTGAGTTTCCCCCTACTGCTTCCATCTACTTTAACCACTCTGTATTATCTAGGGTCCAGTCTTTACTGGCTTCACAGCCAAACTTAAACATGTTTCAATCCTGGCATCTGCAAAATACTGTATTACAGTTTGGAGGCAAGAGTGGGTGGGAACAGACATTTCTTAAAAAATAGTTTTAAGACACTGTTTTAGCCTAAGCTCAGTGAAGCCTTGAAGATGAGGACTCTCCAGGAAAGGGTAGGTAGGAGTTTGTCGGAGACAGGTTTTTTTAGCGATATCTTTCTGATTTGTACATCCAGAATGGAGGAAATGTAATTGGAGAGCGGTAGAAACAAATCCCAGCCAGAAGCATTAATGTGTTGAGCAAGGGGATGGAGAAAGGTCTGGCATTTTGAGCTGCCATGTGACAGATTCCAGGTTGCATTCCATGCTTAGCACCCTAATTCTTGTCCATCCTAGCTGTTTGAAGTGGTGTGTCTCCAGAAAGATTTGTGCCACTGCAAATGATAGACCCTGCTCATGGGGAGAAAACATGGTTCTCTGCTGGGAACTTATTATCCTCAAGACAAAAAATCT